GGAAGACCCCAGATGAGATAGATTGATACAGTAACTGGGGAAATGGAGTTAGGTGTATAGAAATCAGTGAGACTGGCTGAGAACAGGGTAGGCTTCAGAGCAGTTGTACATATTATCCATATACATACAAGATCCCTTAACACTCCGATTCAGGCCCTTGTTCTTTCCAATCACATGCTACGCACCCAAGAGCTGGACAATGAATAAGGATGACAGAAGAAGAACTGATGCCTGTGAGCTGGGGTGTTAGAGAAGAGCCACTAACATCCCATGTACTGCCAAATAAAACAAACAGACATGTCTTGGACAAAGTGCAACCAGAGTGTTCTGAGAGGCTAAGATGCCTCACATACTTGGGCATGTTGCTAGGATAGTTATTCCTTGGAAAGAGACATGATGCTCGGAAAGGCAGAGGGTTGGCAAAGGAAAGGAAGACCCTTGACCAGGTAGACTGACGTGCTGAGTGCTGCAATGGGCTCTTGTGTGCCAGGAGGTGTGAGGATGGTGCAGATTAGGACAGGGTTCTGAACTATTGCTCATAACGTCACTATAGTTTGTCCTTGACTTGGTGGCACCTAACAACTACAACAACATGGACAACACACTGAGCCAGGAAACACGGAAAAAAGGAAAAAAAAAGATAGAGGGCATACACAGTCACTGAACCAAAGAGAATGAACTGACACTGAAAAATTTCAGGAAATACCATATGAGTAAGAGGCAATTGTAATGACTGAGAAAGTTGAAGCTGTACTGAAGGTATGGGCAAAAAAATAAGGCCCTGGGAATAAATGGATTGATTGCCAGTAACTTGTTTCAGTTAACAGAACTGTATTAACAACAATTAACAACAACATGTAGGTTTCAACCGTGCTCCTAAAGTTCACATGATGGCAGTCAATGAGCACGTTAACTAGTTCTTGGTAAGTAAATTTTAGTTATATTATCTCAAGTCAAGCTTCATGGGAGGATGGGCAACCTACTCTCATGCGATTTACTGACTCTGAAAATCTACTGGAGTGTCACCTATGGGTTGGTTCTACCTTGATGGCACATACCATCACCACCACCACCATACAAAGTCAAAGGTACATATTATACCACTGGATCGATTAGACAGCATCAGGACAGATGGAGAAAAGACTAAAACTGTCAACAATTTCTTCCTACTTGGATCCACAATCAACACCTATGGTAATAGGACACGTATAGCATTGGGAAAGTCTGCAGTCAGAAATCTCTCCAAAGTCCTAAAGAGTAATGATGTCAGTTTAAAGACTAAGATGAACTTGATTCAAGCCATGGTTTTCCAAACACCTATAATGCATCTGAGAGCTGGACAGTAAATAAGGATGACAGAAAAACTGATGCCTCTGAGCTGGGGTATGGGAGAAGAGTACTGAAAAATTCCGTGGACTGCCGAAATAACAAACAGATGTGTCTTGGAAAAGAATACAGGAGTAAAGGGAAAGCAGGATATGAAAAAGACAAGCACATGGCCTTCACTGCCATGGCCAGGGATGGCTTTGTGTACAACGAGCTCGCCATGATCAAACGCACCACCACCAAAACCCCTCTGCCAGTGAACTAATTCTGGCTCACAGTCAGACCCTGTGGGCCAGAGTAAAATTTCCCCATAAAATGTTTACAGAGAAGAACTGCTCCACAGGAAATGTGTTTGTTGTTGTGTTGCTACATGCTGTCAAGTCAAAACCAAGTCACACGTAAGCCTCTAGCAGGTTCTTCAGAGGCTATAAACTGCATGAGTGAAGATTACCCATCTTTCTCCCAGATAGCAGCTGCTGAATTTGAATGGTTGGCAAAGCAGCTTCTTACCACAAGGCCTCCAGAACTGAGCCCTTAGCCAGAAGAGGGGGTCGAGAGGTAATGGCGAAAGGAAGCGTCGAGGCCATGTTCTTTCCAGGAGCACACAGCCAGAGCTTCTCCCAGAAGCAACTGAGCAGTTTAGTTACTGCATCACACAACTTGGTCCAAATACTCGACTCTGTTCTGTCTTGCCAGGAGCTCTGGGGACGCTGTGGCTAAGGCGGCTAACACACCAGCAGCTCAGCAGGAGAAAGATGGCAGTCAGTTTCAGTAGAGATTTACAGCTTTGGACACTTTATGACGGAATTTTATTCTGTCCCACAGGATTTGACTCTGAGCCAGAAATAAGTTCCGTGGCAGAGTGCTTTTTGGTGTTGGTGTATTTGATCATGGAAAGCTCACTGTATCCAAAGTCAATCCTAGTAATAACTGTGAAGGCTACATGCATGTCTTGATCATATCCTGCTTTCTCTAGACTCTTTATCTGCGTTCTTTATATACACCAGTGGTGGAGTCCCTCTTCAAAGGCCTTCCTATTTAGCCTCTTACCTTGTCCCTGTTACGGAAAATGGAAGAATTTTACCTGTGTTTCACTGATTATGCAAAGGCATTTGACTCTGTGGATCATAACAAACTGTGGCTGACTCTGAGAAGAATGGGAATCCCAGAACATTTAATTGTGCTAATGTGAAACCTATACTTGGACCAAGAGGCAGTCGTCAGAACAGAGCAGGGCAACACTGAATGGTTCAAAATTGAGAAGGGTGTACGCCAGGGATGTGTCCTGTCTCCATACCTTTTCAACCTGTATGCAGAGCAAATTATCCGAGAGGCTGGGCTCTATGAGGAGAAGCGTGGCGTTAGGATTGGTGGACGATCTATCAACAATCTGCGTTATGCAGATGACACAACCCTGCTCGCTGAAACAGAGGAAGACCTCATGCACTTACTGCAGAGGGTCAAGGACTGCAGCCTTCAATATGGACTGAGGCTCAATGTCAAGAAGACAAAAATTCTCACCACTGGACCAATCGGTAGCATCAGGATGGATGGTGAAGAGATTGAGATTGTTCACAGCTTCAGTTTGCTCAGCTCCACAGTCAACACTCTTGGCACCAGCAGCCAGGAAATCAAAAAACGTATTGCGATGGGAAAGTCTGCTGTTAGGGACCTCTCTAAAGTACTCAAGAGCAACGGTGTCTCTCTAGAGACAAAGGTGCACCTGATACAGGCCATGGTCTTTGCAATCACTTGTTATGCATCAGGGAGCTGGACAATGACTAGGGAGGATAGAAGGAGAATTGATGCCTTTGAGCTGTGGTGCTGGAGAGGAGTACTGAATGTACCATGGACTGCCAAGAAAACAAACAGATTCATCCTAGAGGGTTAAACCAGGCTGCTCCTTGGAGGCAAAGATTCTGGGGCTTCGTCTGACATACTTTGGACGTGTTGTAAGGAGAGACAGGTCTTTGAAGAGGGACATCATGCTGGGTAGAGTACAGGGACAGCGCAGGAGGGGAAGACCCTCTATGAGGTGGATTGATTCAGTGACTGGGGTAATCAAGATGGGTGTGTCAGAGGCAATGCGATTGGCACAGGATAGAGCAGTGTTTAGGGCTGTTGTACATAGGGTCGCTATGAGTTGCAAATGACTCAACAGCACATAACAACAACAACAACAACAACAACATTGTTGGTTAACAGACTTAAGACATTACTGAACTGAGTTTTAATCAAAATATTAACTCAACTATACATTTACATTTTAAACTTGTAATGTAGATGGAATGAAACGTTTGTCCTCAAGAATTTTAGACCTTAGCAAAAAGACGCGGCACAGATGGAATGGTGAAAGAAGTTTCCTTTCTTCCTGTCTTTATGTCTCTCTCACATTTGTGGAGCTGAAACTGACCCAAAGCTGACCCCTCCTGTGTGTATTCAGAGGTTGTAAATTGCACATGGGAAGATTACTCATCTTTCTCATATGGAGCAGGTGGTGGATTCATACTGCCTGTCTTGGGGTGGCAGCACAATTCCTTACTCACTAGCCCACCGAGCGCCTCATTTATTACACGGATAAGGTATAAAGGCAAACTGAGTATTTAGAGAGTCTAAAGAGGTCCCTTGCATAAATTCCCAGCATAAATAGCAAAGATCAATGGTGTGTTAATGTCTGGTAGACGCACAGAACAGGAGAAATATAAACTGTAAGGTTTACATATTTTATGTATTATTAACAACACAGTATGTAACATGCATATATCTTATGGTGTAAAATATGTTTTCATACATATTAACTCATTTGAGTTTTGACAATATATAATTTAGAAATGATTCCCAGTTTTCCAATGAAGATGCTAAGGTTTGCAAATAATTAAACACACATTCAAGATTGAACATAAGAGTTTTTATAATCCAAGTCATCTGTTGTTCCCACATATAACTGGCACTTTATCCGGCACGACAACAATAATATACACGTGTGCATTCCATGTTTTCAAACAGAAAACTGGCATTGTCCTCAAATATGTAATAGGTTATTCTTTACAAATATGTTTCTTCTCTGTATAATCTTTTTTTGATCAAAAATAACTTCTTTGCTATTTTTGTTTATAATTCCATCCTTCTATAATTATTAATAGAAAATGTATCATTAAAATGTAACTAAAGCAGTGAAGTCACTACCCTTCAATTAAAAAAATAAACATTTCTCACCAAGATACTTTTGCTCTCATGAGATACTTTTTCTTGGATACGCTTTGAAATTTAAATGAATTTAAAACACTGGCGTGACTATTTACAACTGTATAATTCATGTCACTCAGTGATTCCAGCTGATTTCTGTTTTGCATATTTTACTATCAGCTTTGAAAGGACAAGATTTAACTGTTGGTTGTACTCTATTCGTGCCAAAAAGCATTTTACCTTGGCTGGCTTTAAAATGAATTACAAATTGGGACTAACCATGACCTAGGATTTCTTTATCCAACTCAGAAATTAAATTAGATATAGTATTAGACATGTTGAATACTACTTTTAAATTTACTAACTGTGAAAATGGGTCATTTTAATCCTATACGCTTCAGTCCTGTAGGGAAAAGAAATACTAGTCATTTACAAAATAGTATCTGAACATTTAAAAGCATAATCAAAATTTTAAGAAAGAAGCCCACCTGTCGGGCTGAAACCAAACTGACGCAGAATCTCTTGTGTGGACGGTACAGTCGATGGCTTCATCTTAGGCTGCAGTGAGGACGTTGGGGTTGAAGTAAGAGAGAGATTTTTGTTGACCTGAAATAGGAAAGGCAAATCAGAAATTAAAGCATAATTTTCTGGGTTATTGAATACAAACATTGGCTTTTTAAAATATATGCTTACTCTAAAAACCAGGTCCCTGGCGGCAGGATGAAGAGTAATTAGTGGTTTCTAGTGTTAGTTTGTAAAGTGCAAACAAAACAGGGTTTAATAAAAGAAGGAATAGGGTGGTGATAAAAATCTTTATTATGTGAAAATGTCTGTTTTACTCTAAAACTATGATTATTAATAAGAACTTGAGAGAGTAGTCACTTTTAATGACACAAAGTATTACAAAACATATCAGCGAGGAACTGATTGCTTTGGAATAAGAAAGAGTCAAAATGTTTCACATCCACACTTTTTAAAAACTGAAGTGAAATAGCTGGGACTTCTTTCTCAGAGACTATGTAGAAAACACGTATAATATGTTTATATTCATCACGATAACAGATTACTATAACCTAGCTTTTCAGGTGAATTCTGGGAGTAGGTTCTATTACATCAACAAGCCTTATTTATAAAACATTGTTTAAAAAAACTAAGGAAAAAAAACTCCAACAAAAACAAAACCAAAGCAAAAACCCAAAATCCCACAAAAAAGGTCTAGATGCTTATCAACAAATTAATCTAATAACTTAGTACTGATTTTAACAATTATCTAATATCCTATATATTATTAAACAAATTACTTTATTATTTTTAAAAATCATAGTAAAACATGCTATAATTTTGAAAAACCTGAAACAACTTGATTTTCAAACTCACTATCAAAATGTAATCCGAATTAACAAAATGCTAAATGATGGTTTAGTGTACACTTGTATGAGGTATAAAAATGGCTCCTTTCTTCCTTTTAAAATAATCAAAACCACATAGAAGTCTTCCATTGTATTCACACTTAAAAATTCCCTTTGATCTTCTGTCTGAGCTAGGGGGTGGGCTGTGGTTACTTGCCCTTTATCTAACACATTATTTACATAAAGCTTGTCAATGCTGCTTTCAAACAGTGATAACAAGTGAGGCAGCTTGGTTTTGTTTGGAACAATGCACTTTTGCATATTTTTTGGGGAAGGGGGACTCAAATAATTAAAAGCATATAATAATATAGTTCTAAAGTACCTAAAAGAAATTACAATGTCATCTCATAAAACAGAAGTATTATTCAAAGTAGCTAGGTGAGACCAAATACCTTATCAGAGTTAAACAATTTTCCGGCTTTCAAAATACTATTAGAAGCCATTTAAAAAAACACGGCCTTAAATGGATTTACATAAGTATCTAAAAGAAAAATGAACTTTATCCATCTTGGAGCTTCTGTTCCCATCTTTAGTTGCTTCTCTGGGAATGTGGCAGAGGAGTAGTGAAGATGAACAGGTAGAATAAAGTGTTACTCATGAACCTTAACCATAAAGCACTTAATGATATATTAAATAAGAAGATTCAGTTACACAGCCAAAGTCAAACAATAAAATTCTACATAACTATTAGTTATTAATATACTTCACTCGGAGTAAAAGTAATCAGGAATATTTACTGTTGTATTACAATGCAGTGAATTTTCTAGAATGCTATGTTTCAAAATGGAAGTACTATATATGAAATGACATATTTATCACTTAACTATTTCATTCACTTCTCTTTTTACAGATATTTTTCAGTTTTACTTCTGTGTTCTTAAAAATTTGTATCCTACATGTCAAACAACATCAAGAATTTTGAAATCTGGAGCAGCAGGTGTGTAAAGAGCACATGTGTACATGTACACACACACACACACACACACACACACACACACACAGAGTTTGGTTCTCTATCTTCCTCTTCAGAAATTCACTTGTTAAAAAAACCAGACAAACAATACAAAAAAAAAAGCAGTAACAATATACTTAAATGTCCCTGTTGAAACAGAGAGACTATAAGTCTTTTTAAATAAAATGGTATTTTGAAAACCTGCTATCTAAAATAACTCAAGTATTTTTATACTTGTTCTGCATCTCAACTCGTCTTTGGTATTTAAAATAATGAGTGCACCTCAAATCTATATAAAGTTTTGGGATAACTTCATGATTTTAAATTAGCACTCAGAAGTATTTCTACATCTTACATATACTCACCACTTCATTTAGAGGAAGAAAAAATAATAATAACCATTAAAAAAGTGAAGCAATATCTATTTTTGAAATATATGCTGTGGAAAAGAGTTGCTTAATTATTTTACAACAACAGAAAGGTTGGCTAAGATAGTCTCCCCTACACCAATCTACCCTCTTTTCACAACACACATTCCTGCTTGCTTCATGCAAAAACCACAGTTTGCCAGAGTCAGTTTAATACTGCCATACTGGGGAAACATGAAAAGCATAAAAAATTTAACAAAATTTGTAATCATGGAGCAGAGGGGGAAATAATCACTTTAGAATTTCTGCCAAGACAACCACAAAACTATTTTCCCTATTGCTTTTGGCTATAGCAGCTTTATGCAAAATATGCAAATCTTAATTCTCTAAGAGGGGTTAATTTTCATAATAAAGTCATTGTCCCAGTATAAGACTGAATGTACATGCCAGAAAAGTTAACAATCTCTTTCCCTTGATGAGCAGCTACATTTTAAAGGCTTTGAGAGCTAACTCTTATTTCCATATATACTTCAAATCTAACATTTCAGCAGATTCTAGATTATAAATGGCATAAACAGCAAGTAGGACAGTTTTTATGTTTTAAGCTATGAGGCCAATTCAAATTAGTTATAAATTTAATGGAAAAAAATGGCGACACTTTTTCACTCTCTTCTGATCACCATTTTTCTATTAATTCAGAACAATAACACAGATAAAACTTTAAGTAGAGGCAGCTTTTGTTGTAAAAGTAAAAATATCCAGGAAATAGTGTGCTGCAAATCATGGCTATTGTGAAAATTAAAATTTTATTGCTAAAGACTAAAAAACAGAAAACCTTTGCCAAAGTAAGTATCAAGGCATTTCAAGTCAAGTGCCTTAATACTGTCATAAATAATACTTCTGTAATTATACCAAATTACACTTCTATCATTTCCTAAGAAATAACAGAGCCAGTGGCATTGCAAAGAGAAAATGCAATAAGACCTCTTGGGACCCAGATGTTTTCAGTGACCAGCTGGGGCAGTTTAATGAGAGGTTAGCAAGAAAGAAACAATGTAAAGGAGCTAGAAAAATCACACTCGACAACCTGAAAGGTTTACTTAATTAAGTAAACCCAGAATTCAAAACCTGCTGGAGGGTCCAACTTGACACCAATAAGTTTTGCTGTGTTGTCAAATACTTGTGAAAGGTGGTCAGTGAGTAAGGAAGACTGAAGAAGAACTGATGCCTTTGGATTGTGTTGGCGAAGAGTACAGACTATCCCATGACTGTCAAAGAATAAACAAGTCTGCTGGAAGAAGTGCAGCCCTGATTCTCCCTACAGAAGAGGATATGAAGATTTAATTCATCTCACCTACTCTGGGCATGGTCTCTGGAAGGGGCAGCCTTGGAGAAAAACGTCATTCCTGGGAAGGTGGCTAGTCAGGTAAGGGGGGGAAGACTCCAACGAGATGGACTGACACAGTGAGTGCACCGATGAGGTTAAGCATAGTAGAGTGTGAGGATGTTACAGGATTTAGAAAGTTTTAATCAGTATATAGGGGGGCTATTAGAAAGAAAAAAAAACCCACCCAACAAAAACCCATCCAAAACTCTAATCTTGAAATTCATGACTGTCAAGTTGGAACACTGTCCCTCCAATAGGTTTTCCAAGGCTATGAATCAAACAGGAGGAAACTGCTCATCTTTCTTTTTATGTATATGATTTTCTTTTTTTTGGTAAAATTAATTTTAATGAACATTTACAGAGATTTTGGCTTTCCATTCATTCATTGTTGTACTTTTCTCCCTACCCCTTCCTCCCCCCAGCTTGCTCCTCTCTTTGAAAAGTAAAATTCCTATATATAACCTCCCCCCCCCAGTACACTAAACTAGGCAGCCTTCATTCTGCACTCCTGTGATAAGCTTCAGTGGGGTTAGCAGTGCAACTCTCTACAGTCGAAGTCACCAGAGCTCTCTAGAGGGGATACCGCTATTGTTACTGTTTTACTCTCTTTTTCTTCCCTTCCTACACTGATAATCATTCTAGAATGATTCTTTTGCAAATCTCTCCTTAGCTATTAATAACTGTTGTAGTAATTGCTCATTTGTTATCTTACGTCACCAAACATAACTACTTCTAGACTCAGTCATGTTGTGTAATGTTTTTTTAAATTCTTTATCATTCTTTGGTGTTGCATAATACTCCACTGTGTTAATGAACCTTTTACCTATTAATAGATACTTGGATTTTTCCATTCTTTGCTACTGTAAATAATGCTACAAATAAACATTGGTGAAAATATACCAGCTTATAGCTGTTACATTTTTTGGATATATACTAAGTATTGGCTTGCTAAATCAAACGGTATGTCTATTTGCAACCTTTAAGGTTGTAATTGTCAGACTGTGTTTCATAGTGGATGCTATGCTCCACTTTCACATTCCTTTCAGAACTGTTAACAGTCTTCCTACACCCTCACTAGCATTTGTTTGCTGTCTGACTGAACTCTGCTGTTGTTGCTGGAGATTGCATCTCACTGTAATGTCTGCTTTTGTATAGTATATGGTTAATAATATGTACAACAATGTTGCAGTATATAATTTGTAGTTTAATTCTCGGATGTAATCCTCAATAAAAATATTAGAGTTATAGATACTGGCAATAATAATACTTTTTTAAAAGCTATTCAACATACACAAAATGATACACTTATGATGTTTTTACATAAAAAAAAATTTCAGGAGTAGTTTTGAAGACCAGATGAGTTGTAGGATGACATCATTAACACCACCGATAAAGAAAGTAAAAGGTCATTACAAAGAAAAGGAAGGAAGAAAAGACAAAAATTCTAATCAGAAGAGACTCTCAAATTTGTACTAGAATATAGAGGTGGT